AAATTTATTTATAGGTCCTTTTTTTTCGGAGGTCCTTTATTATCAATATTAATATAATTGTATTTTAGAACTTGTAATCTAACTTATGTGGTCAAAGATTTTCCGAAAACCTCAAGAAACGTAGGCCTACCTATGTGTAAGTGTAGGTAAAAACAACAAAAAAACAACACACCCACACACACACAATTTCGAGAATCGTCGACCTTTTGTTTGTTTTTCTTTCTTTGAAAACCTTCAGCAGTGGAGTCAGAGCCCCTCAAGCCCCCCATAGTTCACAATATGACAATACTGAGAGGTTTATATGTCACTAGGCTACTGGGATGAATATGAGCCACATAATTTCCTGCTCTTAATCCGCTTTTATCCTGACGCTCTCTAACGATGTAAAACGTACGTATGAATAACAGCGCGTTAAAAAAGCGTACCTGTACCACTCGAGTCCTTTCTCGTAGTTGCGATCAAAAAAGTGCGGCTCCGCTCCCACCGCGCGGATGTCAGGATGGAGGCGCAGAAACTCGAGCAGCGCGCGCGTCCCGCCCTTCTTCACCCCTATTATAATCGCTTGGGGCAACTTTTTGGTATCGTTCAGGGCACCTGCTACTCCCGAGTCCTCGTCATAAACAACATCGCCCTTATTTTCCTCCCAGCCGTCTCCTTTGCTGTCAGCATCACTCTCGTTGTTTAGTAAGTCCCTGGACTGGCTTTTGAGGAACATCTCCAGGTCTTGTTTCTGGAGGGGTCTGGGTGGATTCCTGCTGCTCCTTTCTTCCATCATGAAGGTCGGTGTGGTGGAGCAGTAGCCCACACAGCAGTACAGCATGTACACCCACAGTGACAACATGATGCAGAAGACGAAAAGTTTGTTTTTCACCGGCTGAGTGGAGTGAGTGTGCGGACTATATTCCATAGGACTCTCCTGTGTGTAATGTCAATGTCCAGTAGGGCATATTGGCAAAGTTACTTGCTCCTCCGCATAGGTCCCTGTAACATGCGGGCATCTCCGCGGGAGAGGAAAAATAGGAGCATGAGTCCCCGGCAGATGTTGAATTCATTTCATTTTGGTGTCTGGACGGTGCCGGAGATGTAGGAAGTCACAGTTGTTACACTGGCACGAGCGCGTCTTTGCGCATCACTCCGTCACCTCCCACTGGTTCATGTCAACTGAGTGAACGACGGGCAATGCACACTATTTAAAGAAGAGGGGCGTGTGATTGGGGGATTGGCCAATCGGAATACATGCCCAAGCCCTGAAGGCTTAAGTAGCCTATTATTTTTTAATCTTATTTTTATTTTTTTTGACTGCATTAAGTTCCTTTTTTTTTTTTTTTTTTTTTTTCTCCTCTTCTTCTTTTCTCAAAGTAGATTTTATTTTGAAAATAACTCACTTCTTTAATAAGCAGGAAGCAGGAACCTGGCACATGCTTGTGACAATTTACCCCAATAAAAATGTGAAAAAGTG